TCCATCTTTGCTGCTGTAATTATAGTTGTGTAAAGCATTAAACAATTTGTTTGTAAAATGAGTTAAGAGGTTATAATCATTAACTAGAGTGACAAGTAGTGGCGATAACCACCACCACCATCCTTAAAACACTTACCCAGCAATTTCACCAGTTTGGTCTTGACGTTGTCGTTTCTTATTATTCTTGTTATTTGGCTTTTTTTTTTTTTGTAAATAAAAAAAAATTAAAAGAATAATTATTATTGGCACTTGGTGTTGTACAAAGATTTTTTTTTTGAAAAACAATTTATTTTTTGACAGATGACAAAACGCGAGTGGTGTTGTTTGGCATGATTGGGTTCTAAAAAGAGATGTGTTAATAACCAACAAAGGTAACCTTTTTTTTAATTTGCATTGATATGTCTTTTGAATCAAAACGCGGAGAAGATCTTGCTGGGTAATTATAAGATTCTCATCAAGATGGTAAACAATTGTATTTGGCTTTTTGTAATCAATAATAACATTATTATCAACATTATAATTACAAGATGTCAAGGCGATACACTGTTGAAAAAGAAACAATTCGATATGAAACATTTGATATGAACGTTTGATTATCGGAACTTTGCAGACGTTGAAGCACGCACGCTACCTTAACACTTTACAGTCATTCTCTCGTTTCTCGTGTGCACAAGGCTAATCTGACCAAGATTTCTATGATGATATGATGATGCAACAGAATTCCAGGGGGGGCAACATGGCCCTGGAATTTACCAAGACTGCATCAACGTCAATGACGCTTTCACTAATCTTCCCTCACAGCACCCAGACCAGAGAAGGCTGACATGCTGGCCGAAGTTGACTGCAACGATCCTACCTCTAACGATGGCTCCGTAACCAAGTCACAAACTCTGGAGGAATATTAAGAGAATCTACAACTTGTTTCAAGCACAACTCGGAGTAGGGTTGGTGACCCTGAAATTGCATTTGGGCTCTGATATTAGGAAGAAAGGTCGTAAATAAAATGTTTCAGATTTTGATTGGCATGCTATACATAAATCAATCATTTTCTGTTTATTTAATTTTTATTTGACCAACCAAATTTGTTATTTTTTAAATGGGACTTTTGCCCATATAACCTCCTACCCTAGGTTAGAGGAGTGTAGCTCAATAAGAGCAAGTATCTTATGAGTACAAATGGCAGTTTGGCTCTGCCTACTCCTATTGTGATAGTCAAGGTGAAGGCTGTAAAATAAAATGGTTCAGATTTTGATTGGTATGTTATATATAAATTAATCATTTTCCCAGATTTTCTGTTTCTTTAATTTTTATTTGACCAACTGAATTTGTTTTTTAAATGGGAGCTTTTCCTGTATAACCTACACTAGGTTGTGTGAATGAGAGCATGTATCTTACAAGTACAGGGGGGCAGTTTGACTCTGCCCGCTCCTATTGTGATAGTCACTGGAATCAAGGTGAAGGCTGTAAAATAAAATGGTTCAAGGGATAATTCTATTTATCACTTAAGATAACAAATGGGATATTATAAAACTGTTAATTATATAATCATATTACAAATGACTAAATCTTGATCCTTGAAATCATTGGTAACACCCATGTTCACTTTGCCGGGTTTTGTTGCAGCATGCCCCATATTACCTATCACGTTAATGTTATTTGTTCAACATCAAGTTTTAACATCGTTAATATCAGAACAACCAAATTATTTGATTTCACTTTTAAATTTTGATATCGATCTAATTAATTTTTCCTTGACAATACGATCCTTTTATAAGTTTTCATAGGTTAGTAGGAAAGTGCAAATAATCCTATTCCCTATTACTATCAAAGTTCTTTCAACTAAATTTTTTGTATTTTGTGTCACAACATAAAATAAAAAAATATTATTCACGAAGTCATCAATTAGTATTAGTAAAATTTGAGACATTTTCCCTCTGCCGATCCTTATTTAGAGTTCAGTGTCTAAAATCTAGTGTTACGACCTGTTAAGACCTTCCTTAACCAGTAATTAACGGATTACCAGATGAAAAAAATCTGAATCACAAAAAATCATCATCTAGAAACAACACTTTTTTTTTAATATGTTCAGGCTTATTAATCATACATTTCCTAATAAGCTTTTCCCTTCTAAATGTTTTTTTCAAGCATTACCATCCCCTGTTAGGATCGTTGCCTTTCATACAGGTATAACATATTCATTTAATTTTTCTTGCAAGATAATTAAGATGATTTCTATTATTAGGACATACCCATTTATTTCAAAATCCTAAAACTGGTAAGTGTTTTAATTATTTGATTGATCTTGATAAATAAAGTTGTTATTATTATTGTCAATTCATATCCATATTTATGTATATTTATGTAACAAGATCTATCCAAACTCGATCCAATTCTGGACGTTGAAAAGCCATTCATCACTCCACCATCACTACCAACATATCGTTCATCATCAACAATAGTTTCACCAGAAGCTGAATCCGACGATACTGACATCTTAGCAGCGTTGACAGG